GAATGCAGGGCATCAACCAATAGGCATGCAGCTTTCCTCTATTCTTCTTGCTGATTGGCTGTTGGGATTTAACTTGATTAACACCTGCACAGAGCATTTCCACCTGCACAGAGCATTTCTTGCTGATTGGCTGTTGGGATTTAACTTGATTAACACCTGCACAGAGCATTTCCATACTGACAGTATGTCTGTATTCAAGTGTTTTGGTAGGTATTTCAAGCTTTCCTGCTCCAGCATTGGAATGCGGGGCATGAACGTTATTTTTATTTTGAAAATCAACAGTTTGCATTATGCACTTAAAAATCCTAACCAATAAAGTAGGGAATAGCTATCCAACTGTTGTTTTAGTCGTATGTTAGTTCATATTATAGTTATATCAATGTAAATCATTGTTTTCCCTTGTGTTTCTCATTCTTTCCCTGCCATGTCGTAAAATGTGGTGAACCCATCGCTGTATTTGCTCCAAAGCAAATATTGGCCTTTCTAGTTATATGATGATTTAACACACAAGCTAAGATTTAAAAACCATTACGCTGCAGTACCAGGGGAAGCCACTAGGAGCGCAAAACTCAAGGTTTACTAATCAAGCAATAGATTTTTGAGATATGCTTGCCAAGGTATGCAAAAAAAACCGTGAAAACACAAACATATACACACACATTAAAAAAATACCTCTGTTTCTGCAATTAAATAGTACAGATAATAATAACTTCCATATACGTTCAAAATAGATTGATCCATTATTTTTTCAGATTGTATGGTCACTTAAAACGACGATTATTTTGTGTGACACTCCATTTGGCACCAAATTGCTGTTTTATATATCGCTATTTCTGCATGATTATTACATGACATTACATTATATGATCCATAAAATGTTCTCCAATCACCACACTTCATTTGAAATCAGTTTTATCATGTTCGACCCATTAGATACGAGCAGACGGTATTTAAGCGCAATGGAAGTGCTCTCTATAAACATACGCTCTTCTGATCGTAAAAAAGTTATGATTTCCTCTAGTTCGTCGGGAGGATTTCCTCTCTACATATATAAAAAGGGCCACGTCATACGGTTATATATTGTTGATACCCTTCCAGGTATACTAAGCACGAACGAAAGATACTAAATATACTTTGCAATTGCCAGTGAATTTTATAGGCTCTTCTTTTGGCAACTATCAAACCACACTAAAATAATGCGCACTTGCAGTCACTACATATGATCCTTTACTTAACACTCCCTTGAATGTCAATGAAAAGAAACTAACTTTAGAATAGTTAAAGAAACGTCACAATATCGTTACAAGTCTGCCAGCTTGTGCCATAAGTCATGCTACAGGCCATTTGGAAATTGTCCCTCGAAAGAGAAAATGTCATTTCAGAGGTTCGAAAATGTTCATTATTTCCCGAGAGAGAAGGTTGGTTCCTGCTCACCTTAGATCACTATTTCTGCCCGGGGCACGGATCTAAAGAAGAGGGAAAATATATTCACAACCGATGAAAGCCTTGGATACGACAGACTCAAACTTTACTTTCCTTCGGTCCTAGCCGTTAAATCCCTCCACCCATCTCGGTAATACCTCTCGCCACTTGCAGTGAATTGTTATTGGATACAACCTCTATCTTGGACGTCCCAATAACCTATACAAATCCTGGCGGATACAGCATGTCTAAGACCCTCTTTTGATCACAAGTGTGGCTAAATGGGTAGATGCCGACTTTACTTCACCATAATCTTGGAAGTGGGCTTCAATGATGTCACTGGGGCGGATATCGACAGCGCTGCCTTCGCCGCAAGCTTAGGGATTATAAAACCAAGTTAGAGTTTCTTGGAGCGTGACACGTGGTGAATTTTTACTCCGACTCAATCCAAACCAGAGCTCAGTGTGCATTTCTAACACTTTCTGCTCCTGAGATGTTTAATGTACGAATTCGATCAAAGGTAATTACAGCTGTAGTAATATTCCGGTTATTATATTCTTCTTCTATTATTGGGCAATTTATATACTCGCCAGTAGATTGTCTAATAAATCGTATTGTACTACTAATTTTGACGAAAATTTGATGCGAAATATCTAAGCCTGAGCTGTGGTCTATCGTCGATCAATAGTATATCCTAAGTGGGATGAAAGATGCAGCTGAGCATGTATGGGTTTATAATAATCCCTGTCTCTATTATGACCATGTTCATTTGATTATATGGATGGAATCCGTGCGCGCATGAGTTTTCGTCCTTTTCCAATAAAAAAAGGTTTCGACCATACTGTAAATCGTACAAAGCACCTGTAAATATATATATATATATATATATATATATAATTTAGCAAATATATGCCAAAGAGTGAAAAAATATATTGGAGAACGATACTAATGTCTTGGAATGCCAAAATCGATTTCAACGAACTAGAAGAAAATATAAAGAAAAGAACATAAAGATTCGCCATACCATACTCTGTGTGTTATTTGTTCAACCTTCTTGACCATGTAGAGTTTATAATGAAGGCAACTTTTTTTTATTCGCACGTTAGCATCAGTTTTGGGGTTTCCAGATGATGTCATCCATATAATCAAATCAACATGGCCTAAGACGCCATTATTGGGGGAGTAAATGTGAAGGTTGAAGGCGGATGGCGGATTTCCGGACAATTGCTTCCACACTGTAAAATCTTTAACTGAATTCATCGCCATATTTTCAGAGGTTGATGCGTCAACAGAATGTGTCGAGACACTTAAAAAACAATAAGCATACATATAATGTCAAATCAAATGAGAAACTGATGTTGGTATAAATTATATATAAGCTGGTTCTACTAGAGACTGTCATTTTAGAGTAGATTTAACTCACAGACAGAGAAAACGTATGTGTTTATATCGGTTAAGATGCCAGCATATTGTAATAACGCCATGGGAATGGAAATTATATACATTTGCAGAGAACGCAAAACGCGCAATTGTTGAATAAATTACTACGCATAAGGCCTCAAGTTATTGGCATTTTTCACATTAAACAAATGAAAATGTAAACGTGTGATGAACATACTCGGTACATTGTAATTATGGGTTCACCACACCACACACGCTCCAGAACCTTCCGAAAAACGATGAGCCGAGGCACATTAAAAGCAGGCCATTAGTCATAAAACTATATTCCCAAAATGTGACAAGCAATTTAATAGCACGTATCGGGACAGTCGGTTTTTCTTTTATTATGGGTTCACCACACCACGAAGTGGTGGTGAACCCATATTGCTTTTTCTGATGTTTCTTCTCCTTCTCCTCCTTCTCCTTCTTCTCCTGCCATTTTTTAAATGGATTCAGCTTCTTCATTTTAGGGCCCAAGGTCCTGAAATTTGGTATGGAGGTACAGTGGGCAAATACCCCTAGGCGTTTTTTAAATTATTGTGATACAGGCTTTTAGAATGGTTTTATTTGAGTTTTTTGGCTGTGTTATAGCAAATGTATTACTGTGTTAGTGTGCTTTGTTTGCCACGTTTGGGCATGAGTCATCACAATGGAATGCAGGGCATCAACCAATAGGCATGCAGCTTTCCTCTATACTTCTTGCTGATTGGCTGTTGGGATTTAACTTGATTAACACCTGCACAGAGCATTTCCACCTGCACATAGCATTTCTTGCTGATTGGCTGTTGGGATTTAACTTGATTAACACCTGCACAGAGCATTTCCATACTGACAGTATGTCTTTATTCAAGTGTTTTGGTAGGTATTTCAAGCTTTTCTGCTCCAGCATTGGAATGTGAGGCATGAACGTTTTTTATTTATTTTGAAAATCAACAGTTTGCATTATGCAATTAAAAATCCTAACCAATAAAGTAGGGAATAGCTATCCAACTGTTGTTTTAGTTGTATGTTACTTCATATTATAGTTATATCGATGTAAATCATTGTTTTCCCTTGTGTTTCTCATTCTTTCCCTGCCATGTCGTAAAATGTGGTGAACCCATCGCTGTATTTGCTCCAAAGCAAATATTGGCCTTTCTAGTTTTTTATTTTCGTTGTTTTGCTTTTAACATTCAAAAACTAATTGTTCTTACTCAAGAATGTCAATAACTTAGAATGTTAGTCTTTTGTATTTTTCCATACAAACTAAAATCACTTTGATGTTGTCACAAAAGTATTGAGCTGACAAGAGAGAAGGAGTACGGTACTCTGCCAGTGTGAAGAATCTACAGAGGTATTACCAGTCACTAGTAGCAAGAGATAGACCACATTGAATGATGACGATGAGGACGAATCATATGAAGTACTATCATAGCTAGTACAGAAATTTTACTGCTTTACTTTACTTCTTCTACTCTGTACATGCAATTAGCTCACTGGCATGATTTTAAAAA